GTGCAGGTAAGGAGAGATGTTATGAGATAGAGAGAGGAGACAACAGAGAGGGAAGGGAAGGTGCAGGTAAGGAGAGATGTTATGAGATAGAGAAAGGAGACAACAGAGAGGGAGGGGAAAGTGCTGGTAAGGAGAGATATTATGAGATAGCAAGAGGAGACAACAGAGAGGGAGGGAAAGGTGCTGGTAAGGAGAGATGTTTTGAGATAGAGAGAGGAGACAACAGAGAGGGAGACAAAGGTGCATGTAAGGAGAGATGTTGGGAGATGGAGAGAGGAGACAATAGAGAGTTAGAGAAAGGTGCAGGCATGGAGAGATGTTGGGAGATGGAGAGAGGAGACAACAGAGAGGGAGAGAAAGGTGCAGGCAAGGAGAGATGTTGGGAGATGGAGAGAGGAGACAACAGAGAGAAAGAGAAAGGTGCAGGTAAGGAGAGATGTTGGGAGATATAGAGAGGAGACAACAGAGAGGGAGGGGGAGGTGCAGGTAAGGAGAGATGTTGGGGGAGAGAGGGGACAAAAGAGAGGGAAGGAGAGATTCAGGTAAGGAAGTGTTGGGATATAGAGAGGAGACATCAAAGAGGGAGGGAAGGTGAAGGTAAGGAGAGATGTTGGGAGACGGAAAGAGGGGGCAGGTAAATAGAAGAAAGAACAAGGAAAAGAAAAAAAAGTGACAATAAAGAAAGAGAGAGGGAAAGGAGAGAGAAAGAGTGAGAGACAGGAATATTAGGGACAGAGAAATATAGTGTGAAAATAGAGCAAAAGGAGAGGTGGGGGGAGGACAGAGAGAGTGAAATAGAACATTAGAGGAAGAGAGACACAATGGGAAAGGGACACTGGGAGGGGCAGCGAGTGAGAAATGGTTCAAAGAGATGAAGTCAGTGCAAGAGAGATGAAGACAGTGCAAGAGAGATGGAGACAGTGCAAGAGAAATGAAAAGAGTGCAAGAAAGATGGAGACAGTGCAAGAGAGATGGAGACAGTGCGAGAGAGATGGAGACAGTGCCAGAGAGATGGAGACAGTGCAAGAGAGATGAAGACAGTGCAAGAGAGATAAAGACAGTGCAAGAGAGATGGAGAGAGATGGAGACAGTGCAAGAGAGATGAAGACAGTACAAGAGAGATAAAGACAGTGCAAGAGAGATGAAGACAGTGCAAGAGAGATGAAGACAGTGCAAGAGAGATGAAGACAGTGCAAGAGAGATGAAGACAGTGCAAGAGAGATGAAGACAGTGCAAGAGAGATAGAGACAGTGCAAGAGAGATGAAGATAGTTACAATAATTTGCTGTAGTGTCAGACGAAACTTGACACCATCAGTTAGAAGACCAGAATATTCTTTCATGTACCAGTTACCAGTTAAAATATCTTCTTGTTGTTGTTGTCATTGTTCTTTATCAGTAACAGCGTGATATATCTTTCGTTGTGTGTGGGTGTGTGTGAGTGTGTGTATTTATGGATTGTTTATATGATGGTCTTCACATGTGCACACCACCAGTTGTAGGTCGATTCCAGTGATAAGTTGGTTGGACTAGTCTACTGTGGTCGAGGCTATGGGTGTCACAGTCTTTTGTTGTCTGGTATGTACATTTTTATTTCTGAGAAAGACGGCCTGTGACATAGGTTTTGTCACTCTCTAGGGGGGTTATGTGTTAGACCCAGTATCTAAATGTTTTAGAAGTGTTAAAAGCTCTGGCGTGGTGAAATATAAGCGCGAATGTGGAATATCTCTGTGACCTTGTGTGAAAGTTCAATTGCTCGAGGCTGACCTATCAGAGGTGAGGTAGTCAGTAGGCCGTCCAATCAGAAGTGAGCTAATGTGTATCGGTGTGTAAATGGGGAGACTAGTGTAAAATTTACCTGTATTTGTGTGAATGTTTTTAAAATCGAAAACAGGTAAAATATTTTCATGTCTATCATTAATCGACAGTAAATTATGTGTGTGTGTGTGTGTGTGTGCGTCAGTGTGTGTGTGTGTGTGTGTGCATGTGTGTGTGTGGTGTGTGTGGTGTGTGTGGTGTGTGCAAGCACGTGTGTGTGTGTGTGTGTGTGTGTCAGTAAGACATAGGGTATTCTCTATGTATGACCAAAGCACATTTTACAATGGCCATAAAGAATCAAATCAGTTAAAACCTAGAGCAGTCTAGAAACACCAAGATATGGAGAAATTGTGATGCAAGTTTTGTAACATTTAACAAGTCTGTGTTTTACTAAAAAGATCAATGAATATTCAGCGGTGTGTGAATGTTCAGTTGTGTGTGGATGTTCATTTGTGTGTGGATGTTCAGTTGTGTGTGGATGTTCATTTGTGTGTGGATGTTCAGTTGTGTGTGGATGTTCAGTTGTGTGTGGATGTTCAGCTGTGTGTGAATGTTCAGTTGTGTGTAGATGTTCAGTTGTGTGTGGATGTTCAGTTGTGTGTGGATGTTCAGTTGTGTGTGGATGTTCAGTTGTGTGTGGATGTTCATTTGTGTGTGGATGTTCAGTTGTTTGTGGATGTTCAGTTGTGTGTGGATGTTCATTTGTGTGTGAATGTCCAGTTGTGTGTGGATGTTCAGCTGTGTGTGGATGTTCAGTTGTGTGTGGATGTTCAGTTGTGTGTGGATGTTCAGTTGTGTGTGAATGTTCAGTTGTGTGTGGATGTTCAGCTGTGTGTGGATGTTCAGTTGTGTGTGGATGTTCAGTTGTGTGTGGATGTTCAGTTGTGTGTGGATGTTCAGTTGTGTGTGGATGTTCAGTTGTTTGTGGATGTTCAGTTGTGTGTGGATGTTCATTTGTGTGTGAATGTTCAGTTGTGTGTGGATGTTCAGCTGTGTGTGGATGTTCAGTTGTGTGTGGATGTTCAGTTGTGTGTGGATGTTCAGTTGTGAGTGAATGTTCAGCTGTGTGTGGATGTTCAGCTGTGTGTGGAAGTTCAGTTGTGTGTGGATGTTCAGTTGTGTGTGGATGTTCAGTTGTGTGTGGATGTTCAGTTGTGTGCGGATGTTCAGTTGTGTGCGGATGTTCAGTTGTGTGCGGATGTTCAGTTGTGTGTGGATGTTCGGTTGTGTGTGGATGTTTGGTTGTGTGTGGATGTTCGGTTTTGTGTGGATGTTCAGTTGTGTGTAAATGTTCGTTTGTGTGTGAATGTTCAGTTGTGTGTGGATGTTCAGCTGTGTGTGGATGTTCAGTTGTGTGCGGATGTTTGGTTGTGTGTGGATGTTCAGTTGTGTGTGGATGTCCAGTTGTGTGTGAATGTTCAGTTGTGTGTGACTGTTAAGTTGTGTGTAAATGTTCAGTTGTGTGTGGATGTTCAGTTGTGTGTGAATGTTCAGTTGTGTATGGATGGTAATGTGTGTGTGGATGTTCATTTGTGTGTGAATGTTCAGTTGTGTGTGGATGTTCAGCTGTGTGTGGATGTTCAGTTGTGTGTGGATGTTCAGTTGTGTGTGGATGTTCAGTTGTGAGTGAATGTTCAGCTGTGTGTGGATGTTCAGCTGTGTGTGGAAGTTCAGTTGTGTGTGGATGTTCAGTTGTGTGTGGATGTTCAGTTGTGTGTGGATGTTCAGTTGTGTGCGGATGTTCAGTTGTGTGCAGATGTTCAGTTGTGTGCGGATGTTCAGTTGTGTGTGGATGTTCGGTTGTGTGTGGATGTTTGGTTGTGTGTGGATGTTTGGTTTTGTGTGGATGTTCAGTTGTGTGTAAATGTTCGTTTGTGTGTGAATGTTCAGTTGTGTGTGGATGTTCAGCTGTGTGTGGATGTTCAGTTGTGTGCGGATGTTTGGTTGTGTGTGGATGTTCAGTTGTGTGTGGATGTCCAGTTGTGTGTGAATGTTCAGTTGTGTGTGACTGTTCAGTTGTGTGTAAATGTTCAGTTGTGTGTGGATGTTCAGTTGTGTGTGAATGTTCAGTTGTGTGTGGATGGTTATTTGTGTGTGGATGTTCAGTTGTGTGTGAATGTTCAGTTGTGTGTGGATGTTCAGCTGTGTGTTGATGTTCAGTTGTGTGTGAATGTTCAGTTGTGTGTGAATGTTCAGCTGTGTGTGGATGTTCAGCTGTGTGTGGATGTTCAGTTGTGTGTGGATGTTTGGTTGTGTGTGGATGTTCAGTTGTGTGTGAATGTTCAGTTGTGTGTGAATGTTCAGTTGTGTGTGGATGTTCAGCTGTGTGTATTGTTGATGTGTTCATTGGTGTGTGAATATTCAGTGATGTGTAAATGTTCAGTTGTGTGTGGATGTTCAGTTGTGTGTGGATGTTCAGTTGTGTGTGGATGTTCAGTTGTGTGTGAATGTTCAGTTGTCTATGAATGTTCAGTTGTCTGTGAATGTTCAGTTGTGTGTGGATGTTCAGTAGTGTGTAAATGTTCAGTTGTGTGTAAATGTTCAGTTGTGTGTGGGTGTTTAGTTGTGTGTGGATGTTCAGTTGTGTGTGGATGTTCAGTTGTGTGTGGATGTTCAGTTGTGTGTTGATGTTCAGTTGTGTGTGGATGTTCAGTTGTGTGTGGATGTTCAGTTGTGTGTGGATGTTCAGTTGTGTGTGAATGTTCAGTTGTGTGTGAATGTGCAGTTGTGTGTGAATGTTCAGTTGTGTGTAAATGTTCAGTTGTGTGTGGATGTTCAGTGATGTGTGAATGTTCAGCTGTGTGTGAATATTCAGTGATGTGTAAATGTTCAGTTGTGTGTGGATGTTCAGTTGTGTGTGGATGTTCACTTGTGTGTGAATGGTCAGTTGTCTGTGTATGTTCATTTGTGTGTGAATGTCCAGTTGTGTGTGGATGTTCACTTGTGTGTGAATGTTCAGTTGTGTGTGAATGTTCAGTTGGTGTGGATGTTCAGTTGTCTGTGAATGTTCAGTTGTGTGTGAATGTTCAGTTGTGTGTGAATGTTCAGTTGTGTGTGAATGTTCAGTTGTGTGTGGATGTTCAGTTGTGTGTGAATGTTCAGTTGTCTGTGAATGTTCAGTTGTGTGTGAATGTCCAGTTGTGTGTGGATGTTCACTTGTGTGTGAATGTTCAGTTGTGTGTGAATGTTCAGTTGGTGTGGATGTTCAGTTGTCTGTGAATGTTCAGTTGTGTGTGAATGTTCAGTTGTGTGTGAATGTTCAGTTGTGTGTGAATGTTCAGTTGTGTGTGAATGTTCAGTTGTGTGTGGATGTTCAGTTGTTTGTGAATGTTCAGTTGTCTGTGAATGTTCAGTTGTGTGTGGATGTTCAGTGATGTGTGAATGTTCTGCTGTGTGTGAATATTCAGTGATGTGTAAATGTTCAGTTGTGTGTGGATGTTCAGTTGTTTGTGAATGTTCAGTTGTCTGTGAATGTTCAGTTGTGTGTGGATGTTCAGTGATGTGTGAATGTTCTGCTGTGTGTGAATATTCAGTGATGTGTAAATGTTCAGTTGTGTGTGGATGTTCAGTTGTGTGTGGATGTTCACTTGTGTGTGAATGTTCAGTTGTGTGTGAATGTTCAGTTGTCTGTGAATGTTCATTTGTGTGTGAATGTTCAGTTGTGTGTGAATGTTCAGTTGTGTGTGAATGTTCAGTTGTGTGTGAATGTTCAGTTGTGTGTGAATGTTCAGTTGTGTGTGGATGTTCAGTTGTGTGTAAATGTTCAGTTGTTTGTGAATGTTCAGTTATGTGTGGATGTTCAGTTGTTTGTGAATGTTCAGTTGTCTGTGAATGTTCAGTTGTGTGTGGATGTTCAGTTGTGTGTGGATGTTCAGTTGTGTGTGAATGTTCAGTTGTGTGTGGATGTTCAGTTGTGTGTGGATGTTCAGTTGTTTGTAAATGTTTAGTTGTGTGTGGATGTTCAGTTGTGTGTGGATGTTCAGTTGTGTGTGAATGTTCAGTTGTGTGTAAATGTTCAGTTGTGTGTGAATATTTGCTCATAGATCTGTGGCTGAACAGCTGCGAAGAGGTGAAGCTGTAGCTCCTGAAGCCTTTGATTCTGTGACTGTGTACTTCAGCGACATCTGTGGATTCACAACTCTGTCTGCGGAGAGCACTCCCATGCAGGTATGCAAGTGCTGCTTCACATCTTATCTCTGGCATCCATGTCATCACTCATGCCAAGCTTGATGTAAATGTCATTTATGATAAATATTGGTGTCTATGCCATCATTATTAGAGTCGACATAATCATTGTTGTCCATGTTTGGGGCTGGAGAAACGACCAGAAAATACCAGAGGTTAGATCATAGTCAACTGCCTACTAGAGGTGGAGGAAGACAGATGTTGTATTTGAAGACGTTGAATACAGTGTCAATGAGCTGCTTAACTGTGAGATCACTAGAAAAATATGTACGCAGAGATATTGTGTTGATGGATAAATGAAAGGAGAACTACAATCAAGCTGGCAGAAGTTTTGAATGATGTTGGCCTGTGTTGTGCTGTATCTATTCCTGACAGTACATTAGTGCGGATGAGTTAAGAAACATGATGAGGTCCTAGATGTTGAACCTGGACAAGCTGATGCTGTGTGAGCCGATGGCCAGTGGTGTCCATTAATACAGAGTAGACCCGCAACAACAGGCTTTGGACAAGCATCGTTGCACATGTCACTGTTGATGTCTGTATCATTGTTGATGTCTGTCATTGTTGATGTCTGTGTCATTGTTGATGTCTGTGTCATTGTTGATGTCTGTGTCATTGTTGATGTCTGTGTCATTGTTGATGTCTGTATCATTGTTGATGTCTGTATCATTGTTGATGTCTGTGTCATTGTTGATGTCTGTGTCATTTTTGATGTCTGTATCATTGTTGATGTCTATGTTACTGTTGGTGTCTGTGTCAATGTTAATGTCTGTGTCATTGTTGATGTCTATGTTACTGTTGATGTCTGTGTCATTGTAGATGTCTATGTTACTGTTGATATCTGTGTCATTGTTGATGTCTATGTTACTGTTGATGTCTGTGTCATTGTTGATGTCTATGTTACTGTTGATGTCTGTGTCAATGTTGATGTCTGTGTCATTGTTGATGTCTGTGTCATTGTTGATGTCTGTCATTGTTGATGTCTGTGTCATTGTTGATGTCTGTGTCATTGTTGATGTCTGTATCAATGTTGATGTCTGTGTCATTGTTGATGTCTGTGTCATTTTTGATGTCTGTATCATTGTTGATGTATATGTTACTGTTGGTGTCTGTGTCAATGTTGATGTCTGTGTCATTGTTGATGTCTATGTTACTGTTGATGTCTGTGTCATTGTTGATGTCTATGTTACTGTTGATGTCTGTGTCATTGTTGATGTCTATGTTACTGTTGATGTCTGTGTCATTGTTGATGTCTATGTTACTGTTGATGTCTGTGTCAATGTTGATGTCTGTGTCATTGTTGATGTCTGTGTCATTGTTGATGTCTGTCATTGTTGATGTCTGTGTCAATGTTGATGTCTGTGTCATTGTTGATGTCTGTGTCATTGTTGATGACTGTGTCATTGTTGATGTCTGTCATTGTTGATGTCTATGTTACTGTTGATGTCTGTGTCAATGTTGATGTCTGTGTCATTGTTGATGTCTGTGTCATTGTTGATGACTGTCATTGTTGATGTCTGTGTCAATGTTGATGTCTGTGTCATTGTTGATGTCTGTGTCATTGTTGATGTCTGTGTCATTGTTGATGTCTGTCATTGTTGATGTCTGTGTCATTGTTGATGTCTGTGTCATTGTTGATGTCTGTGTCATTATTGATGTCTGTGTCTTTGTTGATTTCTGCGTCATTGTTGATGTCTGTGTCATTGTTGATGTCTGTGTCACTGTTGATGTCTGTGTCATTGTTGATGTCTGTGTCATTGTTGATGTCTGTGTCATTGTTGATGTCTGTGTCATTGTTGATGTCTGTGTCATTGTTGATGTCTGTGTCACTGTTGATGTCTGTGTCATTGTTGATGTCTATGTCATTGTTGATGTCTTTGTCATTGTTGATTTCTGTCATTGTTGATGTCTATGTCTCTGTTGATGTCTATGTATTGTTGATGTCTGTGTCATTATTGATGTCTGTGTCTTTGTTGATGTATGTGTCACTGTTGATGTCTGTGTCATTGTTGATGTCTGTGTCATTGTTGATGTCTGTGTCATTGTTGATGTCTGTGTCATTGTTGATGTCTGTGTCACTGTTGATGTCTGTGTCATTGTTGATGTCTGTGTCATTGTTGATGTCTATGTCATTGTTGATGTCTATGTCATTGTTGATGTCTGTCATTGTTGATTTCTGTCATTGTTGATGTCTATGTATTGTTGATGTCTGTGTCATTGTTGATGTCTATGTCTTTGTTGATGTCTGTGTCTTTGTTGATGTCTGTGTCTTTGTTGATGTCTGTGTCATTGTTGATGTCTATGTATTGTTGATGTCTGTTTTTTTTTGTTGATGTCTGTGTCATTGTTGATGTCTGTGTCATTGTTGACATCTGTGTCATTGTTGATGTCTGTGTCATTGTTGATGTCTGTGTCATTGTTGATGTCTATGTTATTGATGATGTCTGTGTCATTGTTGATGTCTGTGTCATTGTTGATGTCTGTGTCATTGTTGATGTCTGTGTCATTGTTGACATCTGTGTCATTGTTGATGTCTGTGTCATTGTTGATGTCTGTGTCATTGTTGATGTCTGTGTCATTGTTGATGTCTGTGTCATTGTTGACATCTGTGTTATTGTTGATGTCTGTGTCATTGTTGATGTCTGTGTCATTGTTGATGTCTGTGAGTCAATGTTGATGTCTGTGACATTGTTGATGTCTGTGTTTCACTGTTGATGTCTGTGTCATTGTTGATGTCTGTGTCATTGTTAATGTCCGTGTCACTGTTGATGTCTGTGAGTCAATGTTGATGTCTGTGTCATTGTTGATGTCTGTGTTTCACTGTTGATGTCTGTGTCATTGTTGATGTCTGTGTCATTGTTGATGTCTGTGTTTCACTGTTGATGTCTGTGTCATTGTTGATGTTTGTGTCATTGTTGATGTCTGTGTCATTGTTGATGTTTGTGTCATTGTTGATGTCTGTGTCATTGTTGATGTCTGTGTCACTGTTGATGTCTGTGTCATTGTTGATGTCTGTGAGTCAATGTTGATGTTTGTGTCATTGTTGATGTCTGTGTTTCACTGTTGATGTCTGTGTCATTGTTAATGTCTATGTCATTGTTGACATCTGTATCAATGTTGATGTCTGTTTCATTGTTGTTGTTTGTGTTTTTCTTGATGTCCAAATGATTATATTGAATTGGATATGAGATTTCCATTTTTGCCTTCCATGTAGATCTTGACTTCCACACCCTGATTACCTTCCATGTAGATCTTGACTTCGACACCCTGATTACCCTCTATGTAGATCTTGACTTTGACACTCTGATTACCTTCCATCTAGATCTTGACTTCGACACCCTGATTACCTTGCATGTAGATCTTGACTTCGACACTCTGATTACCTTCCATCTAGATCTTGACTTCTTTCCTTTTAATTCTTTACTTTTTTCAAGCAGTTTTTTTTACAATTTCAAACAAAAGGTTTAAATTCCTTTACTCAGAAATTTTGCTATTTTTGTGGGGTGCCCATTTGTCATAAATTGATGGCATTTGCAGATTTTTAAAACTTTGTTAAAACGTCTTTACACCTGTTTTTGATTCCATCATCCAACCTTTGACGCCCACAAAGTGGAGACCTTTCGGGGACGTTTTTTGGGGTGGCCAGGGGCCTCCTATCAGAAATGGCAGTCCCTCCGTCAAAAGTTTAGCCTCCATGGTTTTAACCCTTGTAGAAGTGATCAAATCATTAAAGATAAGAAAACCGGCCACATGAAGTGTAAACAAAAGGATTGGAATTCACTCGGGTTTAGTTTATTTACATTTATTTTTGGAAACCTTTTCCCCTGTCGATCTATCTATTTTTAAATGGGGTTAAATTAATAACATGTCATTTCTATTGCAAATATAATTTGAACTTATTAAAC